ACTCGGCCGGACCTGTTGTGAACTTTTTATTTATCTAACTTCTAAATAGTTAGTACCTTAAATTCACTCATTGTAAACTTGCATAGTTATTCCATCAATCAAATATTTTCCCAGAATGAAATGTGTGTGTGGGTGCATGGGGTCAGGAGGCTCTCGTTTCTAGAATTTAAGTATTTGAACAAAATCCATGATCACTTTATCTTTTGTAATGACTTTAGTCATAGCCTGTCCATCTTTCCAGACTGGAGACCAAATCCACAATATAATTCTTTTATCTCCATGATCATTCAGGATGCTTTTTTCAGAAACCTAACAATCTTTTTTCTTGAGGTAGACAAACCGGAATTAAAAAAAAAAAATCCAGCTACGTATAACAATGGTTTGATACAAGGTTAAACTGTTTCTGTTCTTTTTTTCTTTTTTACTATCTTTTGATTAGGTATTTGGAACAAGTCCTAATTCCCAGGACTGTGACTATTATCCTGTATGGGAAGCCAGGTGATTACATTAAGGATCTTGAAGGGTTTATCCTGGACCATCTGGGTGGGCCCTAGATGCAATCACATGTATCCTCATACGAGAGAGGCAGAGGAAATTTTCAGACACACTCAGAGAAGGCAATGTGAAGACAGACGGGCTTTGGAGTGATGCTATCATGCACCAAGGGATGTTGGGCAGCCATCAGAAGTTGGGAAGAGGCAAGAAACAGATTCTCCCAGAGCCTCCAAAGGGAGCACGGCCCTGGCGACATCTTGATTGCAGCTCATTGAAACTCCTTTTGCACTTCTGGACTTCAGAACTGTGAGAGAATACATTTCTTGTCTTAAGCCATCAATTGTGGTAATTAAGTAGTGCAGCCATGGGAAACTAACACATGTAGTCAGAAATAGTCTTCAGTAAAGACTAATGCTCTACAATACTAACAGTCTACAGACCAACTTCTTATTGTTAAATAGAACTACAAAAGTAGGGCAGATTATTTTGTAAGACGAGATTCTCTTCCAAAATGCACAATTTTACATTTTGCCTATGTGAAACTTTTTTTTTGGCTTTTGTACCTAATTTGTTCAGAATATGCCCTTGTGAGAAAATACAGGAATTGTCCTCTGTTCTTGCAATAATGTATTCCACAGATAATTTCTAAAGCTGGATCAATGTTACATTTATTTTAAAAAAATCTCAAGTAAGATGACTTCATCCGACATTTTATCTAATGTTAATTCTAATTTTAATATGTTTAATTTTGCCTAGCCTATTATTCAATGCATATCCTAGAGAATGTCAGCTACATGAAGGCAGGGACTTCAACCACTGCTGTGTCCCCAACATCTACATTAGTGCCTGGCATACATAGTTAAAAAAATATTTGTTGAATCAATGTGCAATTTGTCTATTCATTCCTCTATTGCTGTTACTTTCCAACTTTTTAAAAATGGCAAAATCCTTTTCTTGGGAAAGAATTTATGTAAAACATTAATACATAAAAATAGATAAAAGTAGTTCTGCTCTACTAAGTATTAATGAGTGTGAAATACTGCTTACCTGTCTGGAACATATTATATATTAACATTGTAGTATATTCTACATTGTTATATTCATGAAAAAAATGAAATTTATACCTAGGGTAAAGTCACAGTTTGGGAGGTTTTTTGGGCTTTTGACAAAAGTATAGTAATACCAGAGTAACAGAATTAACAGTACCAATTTCTTTAGAAACAAAATAGGAACAAACGTTACTAAGTTTTATTGAAACAGGGCCTGGTTGAGACCCCCATAATAGAGGCCTTGCAATGTCCCCAGCCTCACCTTGCTTTGACCTATAGCTTAACAATAGATTCTCTCTCTGCTGCTTGAGCTCAGAAAGTCCAGTCCCACCCAGTTCCCTGATTTAGAAAATTACCCTGAAATTTATGATTAATACCCTTAGGGTTATTGATCACAATCTCAATGGTCCACCAGGCTACTTCCATCATTGCTCCTGGGTTGCTGATGCCACTGGAGAATCAGAGAATCAGAGAATCACGTTGCCAGAGGGAAGGCTCCATGCAGACCCTCAGAACTGTAACCATAGCTTCTAGAGGAGCACCCCGATTTTCCCTGGTCTGAGAATTGTTAAGTAGTTTTTGGAGGTGTTAACATGCTGCCTTCTCAGACCACCGGTGCTCTAATAAACATTTATTTTATAGCCCAACTCCTGTGTTGGTCTACTGGCTGAGCTGCGCAGGGAGCACGAGCCCCGGACTCAGGTGGCCTCTGGTTTCAGTATTAGAAATTGGTTTCCAGGCCTATTCACTAAGTAGGGGGATGCAAACAGCAGCAGCTTTGGAATCGGGTGTGGCAGAGGAGTTCAAATTCTAGACAATCATTGTATAACCTTGAGGGAATCTCACCTATTGTGCAATATGGTGATAATCCTAGTACCTACTTAAAAGGGCTATTGTGAGGATTAAATGAGATAATTACCATGCACAGCATGTTACATTGTAAATATGCTGTAGTTATTAACTAGATGAGATATTGAAGTTCCTTTGATGCTCTATTGGTTCCTTCTCCTAAGATCCTAGTGTTTAAATTGCTTTTGTTATCAAGTCCTTCACTTCAGGCTATTACAACATTGGTAGCAGAGTATATGGGAAAATGGCAAGAAATGTAGAGGCCAAAGTCGCAGTTTCCTCACTTTAAAATGCGAATGA